AGAACTATGAATACAGTGAAATGTATTAGTTGATTTTATAATATTAAACATTTCTTTATTCCTAGAACGAATTTGAAAGAGCATCTTCCTCAGTTTTCTCTTGGTCACCCCCTGAGAGTTATTGCTTCCTCAGACTCCATCTGGTTTCTACTCCATCCATCTTGTAGGTTCTCTCACTCTGGTGGCCTCAGCTATCCCTGGTGTTCCACTGCTTTCTGAATATCATCTTCTCCTTAAATCTTCCTCTGAGCTGCAGACCCTGTTTCCACATGGCTTCCCAGTGTTTGGCCACAGAGACTTCAACACAGTGTTGCAGTTCAGTTCACCTCCTGCCCCTCACGGTCACTTCCTTTTCCTCAGCTTTGGTCTGGAGCACCATCGTCTACCCAGGAAGTGAACTCCCATCTTCACCTCTGTACAGCCAATGGGTACCAAATTCTTGTCCTATTTTTTTTCTGTCATTTTTTTCTTTTTCTGTTGTGTCCTCCACTTTGTATTGTTGATGTTAGGGTTAGCTGTGTCACCCAATTTCTTCCCCTCTGACTCCTCCTTCAGTTCTCCCCAGCTCTTCTTACACAGGATGACTTTCAGAATGCAGGCCTGTTAGGTAATTTGCCGCCTCTCATTGTCCCCTCCTTATTTACATCTGTGTTTTAGGAGGTGGGTGGTGTTCGCTTTTGTAGGGACACTAGAAAGTCTCTGGGTATAGGAGGGAAACATGAGTATGATGTGCTTCTATTTATGTGGAACACTAGAAAGTCTCTGGGTATAGGAGGGAAACATGAGTATGATGTGCTTCTATTTATGTGGAATTGGTTTTGCTGGAACTAGGTAAAATTTTAAATGGAAAATCACAGTACTGTCTATTTCTTAAGCGCATCCCCTCCTGGGCTGCTCTTCTCAGCACAGGGACATCCTGCATGCGGTGTGACTATCAGGTTTGTGCTTTGACAGCATGGCCCCTTTGCTCCATTCTGGTGAGAAGGCTTCCCAGTGGACGAGCTGAACCCCTGAGTCATGTCAGTGAGGTGCAGCCTAATTGAAGAGCAGGCTGTTTTCTACTTCTTTGTTATTGCGTTCAACGCTGAACATGTGAATCTAACTGTTCATTGTATTGCTTCAAATGTGTTTTTTCTTATGTCTTTAGGCTGGGTTGTCAGCTCTTTTCAGAAGCAAAGCTTCATTTATCTTCTTCTTGCTAGGAATAAAAACAATTCTTAATCTAAGGCGGGGATTATATATGGTATTTCGTGGAGTTACCGAATTTCTACAGAGAATAAAAATCCGCTTGCCCCTTAAGTGACAGGCACATTCTTACAGAAGTGTGAGCACTTGTGGTCCTGCTCTGACCCATGCTGAAGACTTGTGAGAGAAATTTTCCTTTACAGTGTCCAGTGTCCTTTGAGGACGTGTCTGTGGACTTCACCTGGGAGGAGTGGAAGGCCCTCGATGACTCTCAGAGAAACCTCTACAAGGATGTGATGCTGGAGACCTGCAGCAGCCTTGTGTCCTTGGGTGAGTGACTGACTCCCTGGTAACTCTCATGGCAGTTATTTTCTTTGGGGTTGGTAAATGTAGGAACCATTTCTAAGTTTTAATTCTAATTATGTCTTATATATTTTAGTGGAAACTATAATTGTACATTTTTTATGTAGTGTGATGTGGCCACCACTCTTCTAGTCTCTGTTTCTTTGAGTCAGCTTTGGCTTCGCACATGAATGAGAGCTTCTGGTACGTGTCTTCCTGTTTCACTTAGCATGGTGTTCTTCAATTCCCTCTGTGTTGCTACAAATGACAAATTGGGGTTTTAATGGCTGAGTGTTATCCCTGGTATTCATGTTCCATGTTTTCTTCGTCCATTTGTCTGTGAGTGGACACTGTGGTTGATTCCTTATCATAACTTTTGTGCTCAGCACTGCAGTGGATGTGCAAGTGCACACAGTTCTTCTGGGCTCCAGGGGAGTTCCACTGCTGGTTTTCACAGGGGTCTCCTTGCCCCACCCCCCCTCAGCAATGCCGTTTTCCTTCCTTCACCTCCACCAGCACTTAACTCTGCCATTTTTACTGGGGCAATGGCGCTTCACAGTGGTTTCCACTGGCTCTTCCCTAGCGATGGGAGCTGCTGAGCATTTGTTCGTACTCTCTCCTGGGCTATTTGTGTGTCTCTTTTGGGACATGTCTGTTCAAGTCATTCACCTGATTTTTAACTGGAATATTTGTTTCCTGCTCTTGAGTTGAAGTCCTTCTGTGCTGTGGAAACTACTCCCTGTTGGATGGAGAGTCCATGAGCATTCTCTCCCACTGTGCATGCTGGCACTTCTTCCTCCTGGTCCTTTTCTGCATAGCAGCTGATCCACATAGCAAGGCCCCATCTCAAAAGCAGAGCTTTGCCCAATCAGCACATGGAAGTGTCCCCTTCTGTTTTCCTGGGCAGTTTTGTGGTTTCACCTCCTGTCCTGATCCACACTGAGTTGGTTTCTGTGTATGTTGAGAGGAGGCTCTGCCATTTTTCTTCTACACACAGATACACAGTTCCCTCTTACTGAAGAAAGCATCCTTTCCAGATGCATGATCTTGCTGCCTGGGTGGAAATCTGTCAACTGTGATTAAGTAGACTTACAACTGTTATTTCTGTCATGTTCCCTTGGTCTATTTGTCTGTCCTTGTGCAGTACCATGCTATTCTGGTTACTGCCATCTTGTAGTGTGTTTTGGAGACAGGTTTTGTGATGACTACAGATTTGATCTTTTAGTTCAGTATTGCTTTTAGTATTTGGGGTCTTTTACACATTAATACAGTGTTTAGAACTTTTTTCTGCTTCCATGCAATTGCCATTGGTATTTAGATAAGGGTTTCATTGAATCTACAAATCATTTGGGTACTAGAGGCACTTTAGCAATGTTCTTCTGATTAATGACAATAGGATGTTTGTCCATTTTTTATGTCTTATTCACTTTCTTTCATGTGTGTTTTATAATTTCATTGTAAAGTCCTTCACTTGGTTAAATTTACTTTAAGGTGTTTTATTTTTCATTAGCTATTATAAACAGGATTACTTTCTGGATTTCTATCTCAGTAATTTTATTATTGATATATAAAAATTACCATTTTATGTTGATTTGTTTCCTGCAACATTACTGAATTCCTGTATAGGTTTTTGCTCAAGTTTTTGGTTTTCCTATGTATAAAATCATGTAGTCGCTCTATCATGATAAATTGACCTCCTTTCTGATCTGGATGCCCTTTATTTGGTTCCCTCATCTTATTGCTATGGTAAGACTTCCAATACCATGTTGAATAATTGTGGTAAATGTGGATATGCTTGTCTTGTCCTGGATCTTAGAGGAAATGACATCAGGTTTTCCCCATTTGTTAAGACATAGGCTTGGATTTTGCCATATGCGGTTCCTACTGTGTTGAGGTACAATTTCTTTTTATCTAATTTTTTAGAGATGTGCTAAGGAAAAATTTTATCAAATTCCTTCTTATATCAATTGAGATGTTTATATTGTTATTAATCCTTCATTCTGTTTTGGAATCCTGAATTGCATTTACAGATTGGCATATGTTGAGCCAGCATTGCATCCCTGGGACAAGTCACACATGATCAAGCTGTATAATCTTTTCTTGTGTTCTGTTGGATTTGATCTGGTAAAATGTATTCATCAGAAATATTGTTCTTCAATTTTTTTCTTGTGTTTTTGTTTGATTTTGGTATAAAGATAATAGTGATATATAATGAATTTAAGGATTCCTTTGATAATTAATAATAATTTAAAAAGCATTGATGTTAATTCTTTTTTTTTTTAATTTGAAGCTGCTAATTCTGGGCTTTATTTATGGGAGACTTTTTTAAAGATTAGGCTTTTTTTTTTTCACCTTTATTTTATTTATTTATTTTTATGTGGTGCTGAGGATCAAACCCAGCACCTCGCACGTACTAGTCAAGTGCTCCACCACTGAGCCACAACCCTAGCCCCTGTGGGAGACTTTTTAATACTGAATCAATCTCATTACTTACTATTGGTCATTCAGATGTTGTGTATCATGATGGTCCTGTTTTCTTCAACTGTTGGGTGGAATGCTCTGTAAATGTCTGTAAGGTCCTTTTCGTCTATATTATGGTTTAACATCAGTGTTTCTGTTTTGTCAGGACGATCTGTCCAGTGACTGTTGAAATATTGCTTTAGCCTTCTGCCTCTCCTTTCAGGTCTAGTAACATTCCCTTGTTAAGTTGGTGCTCATACTCCAGCACAGGTGTGCATGCATTTGTGGATGGATCCTTTTCCATTATGTAGTGTCCATCTCTGTCTTCTGTATTCTGCAGCACAGGTGCAGTTGCTTCTGCTTGCTTTGTATCTGTTTGCAGGCTGCATCCTTTTCCACTCTTCCACTTCAAGCCCTGCCGCCTCTACAGGTGAAGTGGTTTTCTTTTCAGCAGCTTATCCTTGGGTCTAATTTTATTTTTATTCATTCAGCCAGTCTGTATCTTTCTTCGGAAATTGTGTTTATATTCACGGTTATTTTGATAAGACATCTTTCCTCATTCTGTAATTTTTTATGTTGCTGTGTGTTCTTTACTCTTTTCCTCCTGATTATCTTGTTTGGTGGCTTTCTGTATTGGGGGCCTTGTTCTGTTTTCCTCTGTGTGTCCACTCTGCAGCTGAGTTTTGGACCTTCTCATGTCTGTGAGTATGGTAGTTGCCATCCTTCTACTTCTAATGCAGGACTTCCTCAGGCATTTGTGGGACTGGGGTGGTAATGATGAATCCCCTCAAATTTTACTTATCTTGAAAAATCTTTTATTCCTTTATTTCTGAAGGATAGCTTTTGGGGGTTTTGTTGTTTGTTTGTTTTTGTACCAGGAATTGAATCCAGGGGCACTTAACCACTGAGCCACTGGGATTACAGGTATTCACACCATGCCCAGGTGAAGGATAACTTTTCTAGGTGTAGTATTTTTTCTTTTTTATGTTGGAAAAAAGAAAGTATATTTAGAATTAGACAGCTGGACTCTGTTTAGATGATCCCAATTTGTTGGCATCGTCCAAAGCATCATAATCAGTAGCCAGTTGAACATAAGCCTTTTTCTCTCCATCAGGCCTGATCAGGGTGTTAACCTTGGCCACATCAATGTCATAGAGCTTCTTTATAGCTTGTTTGATCTGGTATTTGTTGGCCTTGACATCCACAGTAAAAAAAAATGTGTTGTTGTCTTCAGTCTTCTTCATGGCTAACTCAGTGGTCAGAGGGAATTTGATGATGGCATAGTGGTCAAGCTTGTTTCTCCTGGGAGCGCTCTTCCGGGTATATTTGGGCTGCCTCCAGAGCCACAGTGTCTTGGGTTGCCAGAAGGTAGGTGACATGTGAATCTTCTTTTTATGACTGTGGACACCCTTCAACACTGCTTTCTTGGCTTTCAAAGCTTTTGCTTTGGCTTCAGCTTTGGGAGGGGAAGGAGCTTCCTTTTTAGCTTTCGGCGCCATCTTTTTGCATTTTTTTTTTTTTTTAAGGAATTTCAGTGTATCCTCTATTTGTATTCTGGCCTGTAAGGTCTCAGCTGAGAGATCTGCTCTTCCTGTTTGTTTGTTTGTTTGTTTAATCTGTGGCTTGATGTTTTTCTCTTGCAGTTTTCATAATTCTATTTGTCTTGTACTTCTGATAGTTTCATTATACTGTGACTCCGAAATTTTATTGATGAAATCTATTAGGCCCCTCTGAGCTTCCTGGATCTAGATGTCCATGTTTTCCCTGGTCTAAATTTCACCAGTTAGTTTATTACATAAGGTTCTCTTCTTCTGGAATAGCCATAATGTAAATAAATGTCTCTTTGTTAATGATGTTCCATGTGTTTTAAAGGTTTTCTTCATTTTTTATATTTTTTAAAAAATGTAACTTGGTGATTTCAGAATACCCATCTTCAAGATCAGAAATTTGTTTTTCTTCTTCATAAATTCTAATGAAGCTTTCAGCTGGCTTTCTTTTCTTTCTTTAAAAATTTGCATTAATTTATTTTATAGCACCAAAATTTGATGGTTACTTTTGCAGCCTCTAACTCTTCAGCCAGTTTCTCCTTCATATCAAAAGCTGTCTTTCTGATTGCCTGTCTTCTGCCTGTATTCTCTCAGATCTGCTTGCACTCTCTCACATCATTCTCTGGAATTCTTTCTATTTGACTCTTCTTCATTGTTAGGTCCCAGCCTCCGAGGAATGAGTGCCACCTGTCTCACAGATGTCCTCACTGGCGTCATCTGGCTCAGCTTCTGAGGGCAGGCAGCTGCCTTCAGTGACCCAACATCACAGTTTAGCACAAGTCTCCCATTGTTCTTCATTAATAGGACATAGCATTATTAAACCTGAGAGGATCTTCAAGTTGGAGCGAGGATCTGGGCCATGGATGGCAAAGGAAGCCCCACACCAGCACCTCCCAGGTCAGTCCACACCTCCTGGCCAGGGAGGTCAGGGTGGTGGTATCTCAGCAGACGGCGGCTGTGTGGGATTGCTCTCACTAGTTTATCCCAGTCCCCATCCCAAAGGCAGCTGGTCTCATGCCTCAGACACAAAGATGATTTCTCATGTTTGAATACATTTCCTTTCTTTGTTGCTGATTATGTAATTTTTTTTTTTTTTTTGGTAGACTTACTTAAAATCCAGTTCCTATTTCGTTCTAGTTAGACATTTTTGTTGATTACTTACTTTCTCAAAATTGTGTTTCTAAGAACCATAAGACAAATTAGATTAGGAAGTTAGAGGTCGATGTCACTTTCTAGTGTGGGAAGATCATTTTCATCAGCAGAGCCCTCTAGGTTTCTACTGAAGCTTCTCAGTGAACAGTGAAGTGAGCAGCTTTTTCCCGAAACTATATTCCAGCTCAGGTGGAGAACAAGTCATCTGTACCTGCATCCTATAAGTAGAATATTTCCATTGCAAATCTGAAAAAGAAGCAATGTAGGATGACATTTTACTCACATCTTCTGTAAAAACTAACTACAGGCAAAAACTAAGAACAGGCAAAAGAAATGGCAGATAAAAAATCATCGCTAACATCTACTACTAGGCACCAGGTGAATATTTCAGCTAAACATTTCCCAGTTTCAAAAAAGTAAAATAAACCAAGCAAAAAAGTAGCATGATTTGATGCCAACATATATTAATGTAATTTCTTAAATTTACTCCAGACAAAATCCACACACACACATCATAACTCAATATAATCATCAGGAGGTCTTACATCATTAATACCTTTATGTTTGAATTCCATAGAAATGCTTACATGTATTTCACAATATTCCTTTTATACTATTTTAGATGTCCATAAAGTGAATGACCAGGTTGGGGCCAGCCAAGATCACCAAATGAAACATCCCTGGCAAGTTGTCACAGCCAATGGCAGCAGATCAATAGAGGAGAGGTGTGAATCAAGAAGAACACATGAAGTGAACCCACTCCATATTCCAGCTCTGACTGCACAGAGTGGAAGCTCTTCAAGGACCAAGTCTGAGGACCTTCACGGATGGAAAAATGAGCTTCTCCACAGTGAGCAAGGTGAGATACAGGCAGGAGAGAGGCCTAATGACCCTAAGGCAACTAGGAAGCCCCTCAGACGTGCTGAGCATACTAGTCTAGAGACCAAAGTCCAGAGTGTGCAGGGCCATTGCCAGCATTATGGACAGAGGAGAGCCTTGACCATGAGGACAGTACTGTCAACACAGAAGAGATTTCATATGGAAAACTCTGCCAGCTCTGGCCATGAATGTGTGAGACACCTTGGTAAGGCATTGCCTATTGCTCAAGGGTTGAGTCAAGTGAAGGAAAAAAGTTTTGACTCTGATGTGTGTGGGGAGACATTTTGTAAAGCGTCTGACCTCACTGAGCATAAGACCATACACAGTGGACGGCAGCATAACGAATGCAGTGGTCGTGACAGGCCTGTCATTAAGAGGCTGTGCCTTTTAGACCATCAGAGAGCAGACTCATCATGTGGCCATGATGAGTCTGAGGACGTCAGTCAGAAGACACAGGTGAGCATGCGTCAGGGAATCCATGGGGGAGAACAGCCCTGTGGAGCATTTGAAAGTGAACAAAGTTTAAACCAGAAGGAAAAACTCAAAAGGCATCAAAGAACCCACACAGGTGAGAAGCCACATGCATGCAAAGAATGTGGGAAGATGTTCAACTGTAAATCACAGCTCACTGCACATCAGAGAACCCACACATGTGACAAGCCGCATGCATGTGAAGAATGTGGGAAGACTTTCTCCTATAAATCACAGCTCACTGCACATCAGAGAACCCACACGGGTGACAAGCCCTATGCATGTGAAGAGTGCGGGAAGACATTTAACCAAAAGTCAAACCTCAGGGTACACCAGAGAACCCACACAGGTGAGAAGCCATACAGATGCAGTGTGTGTGGGAAAACCTTTTACTGTAAGTCACATCTCACCAGACATCAGGGAATCCACTCGGGTAAGAAGCCCTATGAATGTAAAGAATGCAGTAAGTCCTTCTACTGTAAGCCACACCTCACTGTGCATCAGAGAGTTCACACAGGTGACAAGCCCTACACATGTGAAGAGTGTGGAAAGACATTCAACCAGAACTCAAACCTCAGGGTGCACCAGAGAACACACACGGGTGAGAAGCCCTTTGAATGTGATGTATGTCAGAAGGCCTTTTACCACAAGTCACACCTCCAAAGGCATCGGGGAACTCACAGGTGAGAAGCCCCACGCACGTAAACCCTGCAGGGAATTCCTCCAGATGTCTTCCTTCACTGTTCATCAGAGAACTCACATGGGAGAGTGCGGTGGATCTGAGAATACAGCTCTTACAGAAGCCCGCTCACCAGGCAACATAATGAGGACACACCTGTAAGAGTGTGGGAGACGATGTCATGGAAGGGTGCATAAGAGCAGGTATCAGGAAGCAACCAGAGCCCCATGCAGTGGAGATACATTGTGTTCTCCAACAGCCATGCTCGGCTCTGGGAATCACAACAGTCATGTAACTGCTGCCAGCCTAGCCCCTGCAAAGCCTCCCATTCTGTTTTTTCCCTGGGTTTACATGAGCTATGTTTCTGAAGCAGCCATCACCACAGGTCATGGTCACTATGATTAGAGAGCAGAGGTCTCCCTGCTTTTCTCCCAGAGTTTCCTGTTTTCAGTTTCCATGAGTGAACCAGGCTGAACCTCTCCACACGATATCTGCATCACAGTACTGATCATTTAGCCTACTTCATGTCACAAGCTCTGAGAACTCAAATCTTCTTTTATACTGCAGAGCTCACACAGAAGAGAGACCTGTGCTGTCACCCTTTATTCTCAAGTCATTTCATTAAAAGTAAAAGCAATCATGGCAAAATGACAAGAAATTGTGAATGCCTTATCAGGTATAGACATTTAATTGGACAGTTTGAATAAAGTAAATTTTCTTAAGTTTCTTTAATGTGTGAAATTTTTTAACAAAACTTCAAATTTTTAAAAAAATTTTGGTACATTATAATTATACATAATTGTAAAAAAATCATTACTGTATATTTGAGCTTGCACACAATGTGACAGTATAATTTGTTCAATTTTGTTCTTCAGTACCCATATTTTTATGTATAAGAAATTATAATGGTTGGACATGGTGGCACATACCTGTAATCCCAGTGGCTTGGCAGGCTGAGGCAAGAGAATCATGAGTTCAAAACCAGCCTCAGGAAATTAGCAGGGCCCTAAGCAACTCAGCAAGACATTGTCTCTAAATAAAATACAAAATAGAGCTGAGGATGTGCCTCAGTGGCTAAGTATCCCTGGTTCAATCCTTGGTACCAAAAAACAAAATTGTAATGAATGAAAATTTATATGATTTGGACATTAATTTTCAAAGGAAAGTGTTAAATATCGAATTGGAAACTATTTTAAAGTAACTACATACCAGTAAACACCTTTGTTTTTTTAAGAGAGAGAATTTTTTAATATTTATTTTTTAGTTTTCGGCAGACACAACATCTTTGTTTGTATGTGGTGCTGAGGATTGAACCCAGGCCGCACGCATGCCAGGCGAGCGCGCTACCACTTGAGTCACATCCCCAGCCCCCAGTAAACACCTTTGAATCAAACATGAATATAATGCTTTCTATCAGCCCACTGGTCTGAGCCTTGGAACATTGTGGTCTTAAAACTGGAGGTGGTAGCTGCCTCGTGTTGTGATGGGCAGAGGCTGGGCTTGCTGTTGAGGAGCCTACCGTGAACACAATCCTGTGTGTACAGTTTATGCACTGCATATTGATTTGACAAACATTCCATGATGGAACCCAGCATAACTGTGCTGGTTGCTTTTCATCCTAAGTACAGTGGATGGGGCTTGGAGTGTAGCCCAGGGCAGTGCTCATGCTCAGCATGCAGGAGGTCCTGTTTCAGCACCCAGCATAAATAAGCAAGCATACATTTAGAGTTTCATTAAATTTTTCATATTAAATGATGTTCTAACTTACTAATTCTGTGCTGGACACATACGCACGCACTCAGAGAAGCAGGTAATTGCAAATCTGTTCTTTCCTTTTGAGTTTTGAGGTACAGAAAGTGTGTTTGGTGCACACAGATACACCTAGTGTTCCATGGAGGATTTCCCAGGGTCATCAACTGTCCAGGTCATTGGCATATTTGAGGAGAATGATTGTCATGGGCAACAAATGACATTTTATCATTTAAATGTCCTATCACTGAATTTGTTCAGCTGTGTATTAATTTCCTATTACACATAACAGCATAACAAGTGGCATAAAACAACACTCTTACTTTTTTACAGTTCATACATCAGAAGTCCAGCAGGCTCAGTCTTTTCCCACGAGACCAAAGTCAAGGTGTCACAGGTGTGAGAACTGTTCTTGGGGCTCCAGGAGGAATCTGGTGCCAGGACCATTCAGGTGTTCAGAATTCTTTCTCACAGTTCTCACAATGGCACAAAATCATGCTGCCATGTCCTAACTTCCTCTTCTGTCATGGCTCTTTTTTCTGATTAAAATGCACATTGGGTCTGTCTAGATAATCCAGGGTGATCCTCCTGTTTTAAGGTCACATGATTCATAACCTTTGTTATATCAGCAGAGTGGGGGTTTTTTTGCATGTAATGTAACAACCACAGGAGTAGAACCAGGGATGAACATCCAACTGCAACATTTATGAGACCAGTGAAGTTTGCCATGAAAACATTTAAAAATTGTCAAGCTTGCAATTTACCACTTACAAAAGTTTTATGTGAGAAATTGATACACTGTATATCGATTATTCTACACTTTATGTTTACATACATTTCATATTTTAACATTCTACATGTGTGTGAACTCTATTTTTTCCCCAAAATTTTCACATGAACTTCCATTGAGTTGTGTGAATCCCAAGACTTCCAATGCTTCCTGTTGGCATCACGTGTTTTCCTTGCATTTATTTTTTTTAACATTTATTTTTTAGACGTAGTTGGACACAATACCTTTATTTTATTTATTATTTTTATGTGGTGCTCAGGATCGAACCCAAGACCTCGCACGTGCTACACAAGTGCTACACCACTGAGCCACAGTCCCAGCCCTTCTTTGCCTTTCTTTTGAGACCCTTTTTAAGTTCTATGTGTAAAATCCCATGCTCTGCATCTAACATGCAATGTAAAGCTCAGAAGAACTATGCAAGTAGAGGGAAAGGAACAGAGGGATGGAGGAGGGGGGGGAAGGAGAGAAGTCCTGGGGACTGAATTTGAACAAATTACATTCCAGCTTTTGTAATTATGTAAAATGAATCCTATTGTCATGTATAACTAAAACAACCAATAAAAACCATTAAAAATGGGCTTGGCTTGTAACTCAGCAGCAGAGCACTTGCCTAGCATGTGAGAGGCACTGGATTCAATCCTTAGCACCACATAAAAATAAACATAAAATAAAGGCATTCTGTCCATATACTACTACAAAAAATAAAGTTTTTTTTAAATTCTATTGGCAATTTAAAAAAAAAAAGTAGTCTCAAGATTAGAAAGAAATTTATTTAAGTAGGAAAGACTTTTTTGAGAAACGGAATCTGTTGACAAACATGTTTTGCTGCTGTCACCTCAGAGGTCAGGCCTCAGTGTTCTCTGTTTCCTCTTGGACACCCTGTCTACCTCCAGAGATCCAGGATTAGTAAGATCATCCCAAATACTCCACTGTCTCCTTGGACATGTAGGAGCTAGTGAATATAGGTGATTACCACACTGGAAAAAGATTTTCAGATATAATATCAACTTCCCACTCATTGCCATGGCAGGGACAACAGCAATTGTTTTGTTGTTTGTGTTGCTTTTTTATTTTTTCATTTGTTCTTTTGAGATATGAATGACAGTAGAATATATTTTGATGTACTGTACATTCCTGGAGTGTAATTTCCCCCTCTGAGGAAGGATGAGGACACGGCAGTGCTGGTATATCTGGTGCTGTGGCTGCCTCCTTCCCACAGTGTGCCTGTGGGACCATTGCCCAGACCACAGATTGGAATCAGGTGAACATTTCATATTTCATACATCAGGTGCAGACTCTGAAAGACATTTTGCATTTCAGGCAGGAGTCTGGGTGTGTGGTTTTGTTGGAAACAGGATTTTTCTGGATTTGATACTGGTCCAGAGCCAAAGCCATTGAGACAGGAGGAACTTCCCTCAGGCATTAGGTGAGCTCATAAGAGAGATGAGGGTGTAACCCTGCCCACCTTTCCCTGACAGCACCTAATATAACTCGGTGCCATCCTCAGGGTAATGATTGTTATGTCTAAAACGGATGATCATGCAGTCTGAGTGAGTTTCAAGGAAGAACTAAATTGTATTCCATTCAATGTTCATCCCACTTTGCACAAATGACAGAGTTTTAAGGGCAACTAGATAATAAGTAGTGTGGATCTCTTATAACTGTCCAGTTCTATGAAGAATCATTGAATCCTGGTGACAACTGCTGGATGAGAATGTATTCTCACACACATACATGAAGTGCTAAATGGAGGGAGAAGTTCTGTCTGAAAGCATAAGAGCTTGATGATTATGGTGAGACTATTTTCAGTCTTGAACTGGGGAGGCAGCATTTATGGAAAGGTGAGCATACAATGGTGGATTTCAGATAGCAGCTGTCAGCCTCAAGTGTGTTGTATTGTTCTTTCCTCTTAGTTAAAAACTACTCTCAACCCAAATCTGCCATTTCAACTTATAACATGCAAGATTCCAGGCCTCACGCATTTTATTGTTGATAGTTGTACCACTAATGTCATTCAGTAATTTCACTTCACTGACAACTGTTTTACTTAACTAATGTCTTTTTTAATACATGAACTAAAATGTTGCTGATTAGTGTCCACCCTACACTATTATGTACTAGTGTTTTGTGTCCCATAGTTCAGTATATGAAATGAGATCATTCAATAATTCCTGTGGCAGGTGGCATGCAAAAAAAAAAAAAAAAACAACACTCTGTTGATATAACAAAGGTTACTAATCATGTGACCTTAAAACAGGAGGATCATCCCAGATTATCTAGGCAGACTCAATGTGTGCATCCAGACTTGTAGCCAGTTTTGTGTTCACTGAATCCAGCATGGTCCTAGGCAGTTTCTTCTAACTTCATACCGCAGTCACTGCTTATGCATTTTATCAACACTTGTAAGTGTTAGTCACATTTGATGTTGGTCAATGGAATACTTTCACACACGTTAATAGAAACTCTTTAAACTCAAAATTGCAACACTGAATTCATCAATGTACAGGATTGTAACAAATAGTAAAGTCAAAGCTAAATATCAACTGGATTATTGGTTCATTGGATTTGATGGTAGAGCATGGTTTTAAGTGCCCACTATTACACCAGCCCACACAGGATCCAG